GTGGAATCTCGAGACGGTACACATGCGTGTATCGCGAATGAGTAACTGAATCGGGAAGGAATAAATGAGTATTATGAATGCATCGATAGTGTTTGAATGAAAAAATGTTTTAAACGCGAACAAATAAATGTATCAGAATTTAAGGTATGAATATGGAAGGACTGAAGCAATCGAAAAAAAATGTGGTGAATTAACGGATGAATTGGGAATAAATGGACAGCTAAATGAATAGCATAATGGATTAAAAAGAATAAATAAAAGGGGGATCGGGTATGAATGAATAGATAAATCTGCAAAATTCAATGATTTGATGACTGAGTTTGGGAAGATTGAAAAAGCGAGAATGTGTGTCAGATGAGAATGAATACAGGATTCAAGAACAAAAATGAATCGAAAATGAATGAATAAGTAGATCGGGGATGAAGGAACGAATAAATGAAACAAGAATGAATAAATGGATGAATAACGGAAGGATGAATAGTAGAATGACGGAATGAATTGGCAATGAATAGATGAATCGGCAGCGAGTGATTGTTTGAATGAATAAAGTGGATGACTGGAGAATCAATTGACTGCAGGAATTAGTAAATTGAAGAAGTAATTAATAGAGAAAATGAATGAATGAGGTGGAATGAATGATTAGATGGAAAAATGAAAAGGTAAGGAATGAAGCAAGTAATCGGTACGCATTTTTAATCTGCTATGTATGGTTGCATTTGTTATGCTTTATTATCGGATGTTCTTGTCGCTCTCCTGCCGATTTTTGCTCTCATTTAATTTCACTTTGATTACCTCGTTTGGGTAATTAGTTACTTTTTCTTCCTTTTGTACCATAACTCCCTGCTTTTCTTCAATGTTCTTTATTTATATCTAATCTACTTTGCACGATAGTTCGCACCATTTGCTTCATTCAGTCCTTCGAAATTTGCATTTTTTCCTATTTCCTCACCGTCTTTCGTCACACCCCGTATAATTTATCGGTCATACCTTCGTTGTGTGTTTCATTTGTTATTTGCCAATAAAATTTTAAGTAAAAATGCCCAAACTTCCCAACAACGTCGTCTCAATCGACGCTTATATTTACTTATAACATGTTGTAAGATGTTGCATCAGAGGGAGGTTTCCAAGGCACAGACCGCCCTTTTCAAATAGTCTTCAATGCTAGTCTTCCCCGTAGTGGATAAAATTGCCGGTGATCCCCTCAATGACGGCATGGGTGTAGTGCTATCAGATGTTAAATTTGAGGCAACTGAGGGACTAAAAGTTAGAGGTTATGAATTCTTGAAAGTTCACGGAGGAAATGCGTTTTGTGTAAACTGGTTAGGACTTGAATTTGATCTTGACCTTTGGAAGGCAGATCTGACATATTTTAACAAAACTGTAATCCGGTTCATACAACCCTAAACATAAGTAGTTCCCTTATCATTTATATCATATTTTAAATCCTTAGTCAGCTATCCCCAGGATTACTAGTAACTAGGACCACAGTGTTAGGACGTCGTCCTCCATGATGCGCAGCGATTACATTTAATGATGTTATTTCAGACTTGGTGGACAAGTTTGTCTTTTCCACCACAAAGGATGTGTTTACAGCAAATACCAGGTATGCCATTTTAGAGTTGGAGAGCAAATTTTTGGGCAGATGCAATCACAGAATCACTTTCTGGGGTCTAAGTAGGCAGGAGTGATTTACTACTCTATTGTTTCTATTAAATGTATGACAGCAATGCAATTTTTAAAAGCATTTAGTTTACTTCAAGAAATACTTCCAACTATATTCATTCCCCGTTTAGGTAACGCACTTTCGTTTAAAATTGAGCAGCAGATCCTATCCCTAAAGGATACGTTAACAAGTGTTTGGTGTAAAATTCTTCATACTGTAACCATCACAGCAAGCTTAAGTTGTACGGTTATGGGAGGTAAGTTTTCATCTTTTACTATCGTTAACTCACAATCCAGAAACCAGATGGTGTTTTTTGCCAATAAAATTATGGTTTTCATAGGATCACTCTTGCCCATAATTAGGGTGAAATGGCTTTCCCTACTATTTTGCATCAATATTTATATTCCCAATAATTGTGCCAAGTTTTGATCTGGAAGCCAAAGAGGCGTCTTTTTAGAGGAAAATGCTTCACATGTCGAAACAGGTCCACACCTTGAAGCAGCACTTTCCACCTTCTCCTGCTTAGGCGTGAGGAAGACATTGTTCCACAGTACAGGTGAATAAAGAAGTGGGAAAAGAAGCGGTGATGCACCGAAAGCACCGCATTCATCCTTGTACTACGTAACCGAAATCTACAGTTCCAGTTGATTCTTCGCTATTGGGAAGAATGCTTTGTGGTCCAAATGAGTTGATGACACGGCTGTTAGGGTTGAAGGAAAGGAAAAACTCATTCTCATCGTACCGGTGTAGTAAGCATTGCCAAAATTGAAGTTGAATAAATCTTTTTTAGTTTTTTGGGTAAGTAAAAGTGTTCCACTCTTTGAAGCAAAACCTTCAATTACTTGATTGGTCGGCGTGTACTTACAAGTACAACATCTATCGCCCAGCCCTGTAATTACAAGCAAGTACATGCCTCATCCCATCAAACTGTTATTGCAGTTCCCCTTTCATCATGTTACACAGATTTCTGACTTGAAGCGCTTTCATGACACGGTCACAGTGCAGTTGACTTCGTGAAGTCGAGCATCAGGTCACATTACGCTCATGTCGCAGCCTTGGATTAACTTATCAAAGGGTATGCTAGTCTCGGCCTTAGTAATGGTCCAAATTACGTCAGCTGCTGTCCATTTGGACAACTTGGAATTTTTGAGTTAAATAAGGAATGTGCAAACATTCCCATCAACCTTGTTTAACATGCGCATGGTAAGCAGTCCTGGACCACAATTCCAAACGTGTGGAATAGGTTCACAGGGTGTTGGGTTTTTTGAATGTGTAATGTCTAATCCTAGGTAATCCCATTTGGACCATTCAATTGTCCTTCATAGTCCTGTAATGAGGCAGATCCCTCGGTGCCTTAGCTACCGCATTTGTAGACCGAAGGACAGCAGGTAACAACAAGTACATCTAATAGTAGTCTAATTCTACTCCACGTTGAAGGGTCGACATCTGAGACATCGAGATTTAAATCACAGCTTCGATACTGCCTTTTTAAGAATGGCGTCATCAAGGGATGGTGGATCCAAGGTGGAATCAGTTAAATATGATTAATTACTGAATTTACTCAAATCCAAGCTACCACATATTCATTACCTACTAAGCTTTAGGAATTCAGGACTGACAGATGATGTTCCAAGGACAGCAGATATGGTTTCTAGTCTTGCTCTGGCGCCATACTTTTCATCCCAAAGTTACACATGCCCTTAACCTTAAGTACTGAGTCATAATCCACATTTGGCTGGAATTCTACCCCAATTTTTGATTCCGATTAGCAAGTTACTACTACTGAAATTATAAAGTAGAATATTTTCAACGGCTGCACTTCACGGGATTGCAAGCACTTTAAAACTTTGTTAGATTGCGGTAGATCTTTATGCAAGTTATGGACACAATATCAGTACTAATGCTAGTTTAACGGTGAGCACATTTTTGTCAGCAAACACTTACCTTTGAATTAGAGCCTTTTAAAATCCACCTGTGACCACAAGTTTATAAGGCCTATTAATTTACAAATGAAATTCTTTACTTCTAAACAAACCACTATAAGTAGTCACCCTGATTGGAAGTTTAGGCGCTATTTGTGCGTGGCACTTGTGTAAAGAATTAAGAGGGTAGAAAGGGACTTTGTTCCCGTGGCGCTTCGGCGCAGTGGAGTTTGTCTTGTCACCTCCCTACCCATTGATCATATACAAGTTTGACATTCCTGTAGAAACTCAGATATCCTAGTGAGACAATAGTAAGGTAATAACACGAAGAAGTCAAATTAGGAGGCAGAATGGGTGCATCAGTACCACTGGGTAGTAGTTCAGTTGTAGAGTCGTTTCCTTTTTTCAGCTTGTTTGCCTGCTTGCGCCTCGCATGTGCGTACATGTTTACGGATGTGTGTCACTGCAACAATCTGGTGGCATTTCCCTCTGTCATTGTCATTCTATTACTCCCTGGAAGTGGGATCAGTGTCTGTAGCTAGTTGACAAATATAACATCCATGAGCTTATGTAACAAGTCCATATTGTCGTCAACAACGGGTCGCTTGTCTTCGTGTGGTTGTGATTCCC